TTATTTTTAGCTTATTCAGTAAAGGACCAGTGAAAAATCCATCATATGTCTGTTCACAATTCATAAGAATGACACCTCCTAGATCATTAGTCTGATTTTAGTGAAATTTGCTCACAATGATCAGCTGATGGGTCTTTAGTCAAACTGCTCTCAGAGCCAAGGTCACATTTTTTTATTTTACAGGCAGTAGCATGTGAATTGTGATCGATCATGTGCCTCCTGAGCTACGATGTCATTGACATTCTGGTTTTATTTTCACTTAGGTCTCAGCAAGGCAGAGCTGTCCAAAAAGAAACGCGAGGAGAGGAGGAAGGAACTGGAGGCGAAACGGGCGGAACGAAAAGCTGCTAAAGGTCCTCTCAAACTGGGCGCGCGCAAGCTGGACTGATGAGGACCTAACAGAGTGGCACAAAGCAGCAGATCTAGGTTCCACATTCCACAAGTTAAGGACCAGAAAGAAGTGGCAGCATTAAAGAAAACTGACAGTCGCTAAAATGGAGAAGGCAGAGGAGAACCTTTTCTCTGGACGACTTTTAGTTTGGGGATTTTCTGTCTTTGTTCCTCTAAAAAAAAAAAAAAACTGACACAGATAAAAGATGGAGACGGAGAGGAAATCTGGAGAGCAGCACCCCCTGCAGCAGAGGCCTGAGCAGGTTTCAGACGATGTCCCCCTCATTATTTTTTATTCATGACTCCCACAGTTGCTCTTGTAAACTATATGTACATAACTGGTGCATCCTGTCTTAAAAAAATGACTTTTTTAGAAGAAAACCCCCCACAAATATATATATATAATAGAATTTTTCTTCACACATGTATTGTTGTGCTGAATGTTTTTCAGTACATGTGAACACACACACACACACACACACTGTGGTTTCGAATGTTTTAATTCAGTTACAGACTAAGAATAAGTCCATGCATGCACTGTGTATTGTGTGGCCTAACAAAAGGCTTCATGGCAAGAAATTAAAAACGTGCTGAATTTACTTTGCACATGCAACACTGTATTTTACAGAAGTGACCCGACAGGTAACACAGGTGACTGCTTAGAGATCTTTAAATGATAAACATGCACTTTGGAGGAGCTGGGACACAGAAAGATGCAAATCCGGTGGTTTTAGGGCAAAATCAGGTGAGTTTGTAGCCTTGTGGTGGAGGCTATGTGAAATCGTCTGTAGTGCTTATGATCACCTTTTGGAATCACTTGTTTACCACCAAGTCATTTTAGGCAATATATGGTTTGGTATAGGTGAAGGAGAACCTTTTTATACTTTTGATTTTATTATTTGTGCCTTTAATTAATTGACGGGATCAATAACTCCACATTTAAACGGACACTTGAGAAGCGGACCTGGAACGCATTAAAGCGTACAGCGTGACCCTGTGTGGCCTGTCTGGGTCGGGTACGGTATTTCTAGGTTTGGTCTTTCGAGCTAGACGTTTTATGGATGAGCCAGTTGACACAATCCGAACCCATCACCACTGGATCTAAAATCCGGGTTTTGGTTGTTCGGGTCCAGTTATGAAGAGGACTCCGCTGCATTAGTCGAAAGAAATCCGGATGTTTTACTAAGAAAACAAATCATGTAGCATGTGAGCTATTCTGACGTATTAAATAAAGTTTCTTCTGCTATGCTTGTCTTCCTGTGTTTGAAGGTTAGTGAGTATGTTTGTATCTGTAATCTGAGTTCTGATTACAGCTTTCTTTGTTAGCTCGTATAAAAGGGTCATTTCATATGAAATGAGTGAAACCTGAGAAAGGTTACCACCTGACTCCCACAGAATCACCTGATTTTTTTTTTTTTAAGCATACAGTAACTTCAGTATGTTTAATGAGCCATGCAAAGTTTTACTTTCCTGCCCTTGATGTATAAAGACTTTAGCACAGAATTTAATAATTTAATGTGTTAATTATTTCCAATGGTTTTCTAACCCCCAGTAAATTCACAGCTGTAGGAGATAGCTGTGTGACATGGACTATGTTGTCACTGGTGGGGATGGTGTTGCACATAAATATGATGTATATCAGCTTCAGTAGTTTAGTAACTGTGACAGAGTAGCAGAAGCCAGCACTGTTACCCTGCATGTTTTATTTGTTTTCTGAAAATTTATGTGATAAAAGATAAAAAGATGGATTTTGATGAAACCTTTGAAGGGTCATATCACTATTTTTAATAGAGGTTAAACTGCATCTAGCCCTGTTCACAAGTGCTGGGGGGAAAGTGCTATAGTTTAAAAATCAGCTGATTCTGATGGGGTCAGGTGGGAGTCTGTTACAGATTTCATGTGGAGTGACATCCCTGTCACAGGTAAATTTTTAGTTAAACTAGACTGCAGAGCAAGACCTAAATAATTGTGAGAGACATCTGTTAGATCAAAATAGGGAGGCCATGCCAACAAGTTTAAATGTGGGGCAAAAGCTGCACTTCTGTGAGATAGTGGGGCACGTGATGCCGACAGGTTCAGTTACCGTGTACAGGCCCAATATATTGTATCTCCACTTCTTTTGCTTAGGAAATGCTGCAGGTTTATGAGAAAGTTTGTGTATTCTTAAAGTCTTTATGTAGAGCTGCTGCTCTCACTGGTTTATCCATAGATGGCAAAGCTTTTTTGAGCCACAATCAACAATAATACACACACA